CTTCCTCTTTTTTTTTTTTCCTTTTGGTCTTTTCAGCTCCATTTCTCCATTAGTTTGAACGTACCTCATCACCTATCAAAGCAGATTATGTCCACTTTTTCTTACTGACCTTACTCTAAGAGCTACAGCTGAGGGAGGTACAGTGAAAAGACATGTAGCGTTTGCCTTAATCGGAGCCTGAAGAGCTCAGAAACTCATGCTGTGAATCCCAAAACTCAGCGCTTCTCTAAGAGCTGTGAAAATCATGACACTTTGTCACAATTTTGCCTGAAAGGGTCTTTTGCATGGGCACCAGAGCCAACCTGAGGTAAATTCCATGTCCTACTCTCTGGACATAATACTTCCCCCATGGCTCATTCCCTGCCCACTGGGCCAACAGCTGCAGGGAGCGTGCAGGACTGTGGCAGCAGATGCAGGGCTGCAGCACAACCTGATGGACCACACAGCCGTCGCTCTGTCTCTAGGCTGGGATTCCATCTCATGATCAATACCGTGTACATTAAGATCCACGAAAGACCAACTTTTAGGCAGTAATACTTTTTTCCCATTACCTGGGGGGAAAGTATGTAGTTGGTGCTTTCTTTAAATTCCTTTGTTTTGTTTCTGCAAGCTTTTCCCCTGGTATCATGGGAGGAACCTCTTAACCACATTGTGGGTGGGTAGATCCAAAGTATATATAATTGGCCAGTGGTACAGAGTATCTTTTCCTGGATTCATATCAGGGAAAGGTCCCTTGCCAGAGCTAACCTTCTCATATAAAAAGGGTGAGTGAGGGAGACTTGATTTTACTAAAATCATAGTTTAATATTACCATTTAGCCACAAATTAAGCAGCAGAATCTATTTTGATTGTGAAATGAGGATCTCCATTTAACCTGCCATCTAGCACAGCATACTCTCAAATTTGATGCTTATTGATTGTGTGTCTTGACAAGCTCCTCTCTGGTGCTGAATTGGATTTGAATTCTTGGTGAGCGCCCTCAGCATCTCCTTGGGCTGGTCTGGGCCAGTAAATAGCTGCCTGAAGTGTTTATATATTATCATGGTCAATAGTTCAGTGGAATTTGTACATTTTTTGGTAACACTGGCATACGTGATGCCCTTGCAGTTCCTTTTCTGTTTGTAGTTTGTGACTCTAAAATTCTCACTGTTATGTGTGTTAATTTATGAAAATAAATTTTTAAAAAAATTACCTGGGACAGAGCTTGGAACCAAGACGGGGCTAGGTAACAGGTGGCGGAGTAAGCAGGGCCCGGAAGGTACCCACCGAGTAGGAGAGATGGGCAGAGGGGCTGCCCTCCCGCCAGGCTGCCTTGGTACAGAGTCTGGGGGGCCCTGCCCGGGGGCTTCGCCTGACTGGCCCCATTTTCACCGCCCGGTGCGTCCACGTGGCTGGAGCCCCAGCTCAGCCACCGCTCCGCTGTGGAGCTTGGACCAGTCGCGCTGCTCTCTGAGTGCTCCTCAGAGGGCTCCTGGCCTTGGCCCCATCCCCTAGCCCGGTGGCTTCCTGCCCTCGGGCAAGAGGGCTGACAGACAGACGGACAGACACCCAGCAGAGTGCAGGAGGCAAGTTTATTCCGGTCCTCGGGCGAAGAGGGCTTGGCTTCGGGCGGGATCCTCCCTGGGCTCCCCGCCCCAGCCACCGCCCTCGGGCCACCTCCCACCGGGCCGGGCGTCCCCGGGGCAGCCGGCGAGGCCCGAGGACGCGGGG